TGAATGCTCTTAGCAGTGCAGGGTGACAAGGAGTGTGGAACCCGCTCCAAGGCACTTGATGAGCATGGTGGAACAGTGAGGGGCTTGGCACGACACCTTCCTTTGGAGTTTCACATCCCACCACGGGCAAGGGCACACAGCGTGTGGCTGACCCGTGAGAGGAAATTTCATATGGTATCTGGTGTGTGTAAGTCACCTAGGTATTTTGCAAAGGGATATACACGTACATTCCTATTTGTAAGGGGCTTTGTATGTTTATGTGTGTGTATATATTCCTATATACACACAGGTGCAAATCAAAGCTGCAGAAGACTCCAGTTCCACGAGGAACAGCGAAGGGCTGCATCCCGAAAGCTAACTGTAACTGACCACACGGACGACAACGTCATCTCAGCAGCTTCCTGAGCCCGTTCTGGGGAGAAGGCCCACAGCAAACGGGGGCACACACAGGGGTGGGGCTGGCTTTCCCTTGTTTTCTAATGCAGAGGGGACAAAATAACGACAGGGGTCGTGAATGTAGAACTTTCTAGAGGGATTGCTAAAAGATTTAGGTTTCAGAGTTTGTGGTTAAATAAAACATAAAAATCTTCAGCTTGAAAACACACCCTGGAATGACAAGTTAATGGTGCAGAACTTTCCAGAAGGATTGTCATACACTTCAAATATTGTGAAGGCTTATGGTAGAGGAGGTGATGAAGCAGCAAAAGTTTGAGAAACAATGACAGCTATATTAGAAAAACTTATTTCTTCAACTTCCTGGAACTCAGGATGAGTCAGAGCCCTTCAAGGCTGACAGGGGTCTCCGTTACACAGATGTAGAACACTTAGGCTCACAGCCAATAACTAATTCATGCTTCAAGACGAATGAGAGGCCACAAACTTCTCAGACTCTTTCCAACTCATGTTCAGCTTGATTTCGTAAGAGGTGAAAGAACCAAGTCGAAAGACAGCAGCATGGGCCCAGCGCGATAGCATAGTGGTTAAAGTCCTCACCTTGCATGCCCGGGATCCCATATGGACGCCGGTTCTAACCCTGGCAGCCCTGCTTCCCATCCAGCTCCCTGCTTGTGGCCTGGGAAAGCAGTTGAGGACGGTCCAAAGCCTTGGAACCCTCCCTCGTGTGGGGGGACCTGGAAGAGGCTCCTGGCTTCTGGCTTCGGATCAGCGCAGTTCCAGCTGTTGTGGTCGCTTGGGGAGTGAACCATCAGATGGAAGATCTTCCTCTCTGTCTCTCCTCCTCTCTGTATATCTGCCTTTCCCATAGAAATAAAATAATCTTAAAAAGGAAAAAAGGAAGATAGAAGCTGCCCCTTGGGACGCATGCATCCCGTTTCAGGGTGCCGAGTGTGAGTCCTGGCTGACCTGTCTACTTCCTTCTAATGCAGACCTGGCAGGCTCGCGCATGAGGGTCCCTGCCACCCTCCTGGAGATCCAGATGGAGACCTGGGCTCCTGCTTTGATCTGGCTCAGTCCACTTACTGTGGCCATTTGGGGCAATAAAACCAAGAATGGAAGACTTCTCTCTGGCTTTGAAATAAAATGAAAACAAGCAAATACAATTTAAAAAACTTGAAAAGCTCTGTGGAGGAAATAAGGTCAAAGTAGTCTTATTATTTTTGAATAATGCGCAGTTTTTACTTTCCTTCTCATCTTCACTACCCTCATGGGCTTAAAGTGAAGTTCCAGAAATCAAACAGTAGGTCACATTGCAAAGACCCTCTGTCATACCAGATAAGGGGAACTGACAAAAGTGTGAAACAATGCCACTCTTCCTATTAAACCTATTTTTGTCCTGTAAGATACAGCTACATTCATAAGATGTCATTTAAGTTACTATTTTAGAAGAGCTAATGAATATTTTACAACTTTGTCAGTTTTTAAAAAGGATTTTATTTTCATTTCAGTTGGGAAGGCAGAGTTACCGAGAGAAGGAAGAAATAGAGAAAGAAAGATATTCCACCTGCTAGTTCACGTCCCAAATGGCCACCACGGCCAGAGCTGGACCAATCCGAAGGCAGCGGCTTCTGCGTCCCCTGTGGGTGAGGAGGCCCAGGACTCGGGCCATCCTTCGCCGCTCTCCCAGGCTTTAAGCAGGGACCTGGACTGGGTGTGCAGCAGCAGGATACAAACCAGCACCCATATGGGAAGCCGGTGCACAGGAGAGAGCCTACTGCCACGGCACTGGCCCTGAAAACCGTCAGAATACTGACAGAGGTCGCCCATATGGATCTTGAGTCACGTGTAAGAACATACAGAGAGGGGCCCGGCGCGGTGGCGCAAGTGGTTAAGTCCTCGCCTTGCAACCCCGGGATCCCATATGGGCGCCGGTTCTAATCCCGGCAGCCCCGCTTCCCTTTCAGCTCCCTGCTTGTGGCCTGGGAAAGCAGTGGAGGACGGCCCAAAGCTTTGGGAACCTGCACCCGTGCGGGAGACCCGGAAGAGGCTCCTGGCTTCGGATCGGCATAGTATCGGCCCGTTGCGCTCACTTGGGGAGTGAATCATCGGACGGAAGATCTTCCTCTCTCTCTCTCCTCTCTCTGTACATCCGCCTTTCCAATGAAAAAATAATAAAAATAAATCTTTAAAAAAAAAAAAAAATTAAGAACATACAGAGAGGTCTTGAGACGAAAGGTTTGAGAACTTCTCCACTAGAATATAAAGCCCACCAGAGGGCTGGGTGTTTGGCCTGGTGGTTAGCGCAGAATGCCACGTATCCAAGGCCCTGGCTTTGCCTGCCTCTGGCTCCTAACTCCTGCTTTCTGCTGCCAGCCAGAGTACTGCAGGGATCTGAGGCATGAATCACTGCAGCAGTAAAATAAAATAAAATAAGGGAGCAAGAAAGGAAAGAACAAAATGGAAGTCTTATGAAAAACACTCTCTGTACTAACGTCCTGGTCTTCCCCGAGTCCCTGTGTCACCTTCACTGGCAGCGGATAGAGGCTTGCATCAATGGTACCTAGTCTCGGAGCTCAAGTTTAGGAAGGACAGCGTTCAAAGCTGGGTTTAAGTTTGGCTCTGTCATTTCCCAGCTCCAAGAATGGATAAACCTCAGCCTGGGTTTCCTTACCTGCATGCGGGACCAACAGGACCACTGGTCCCTGAATGAACGCAGCAAGGCAAGCAGGGACCTAGGCGGGCCCTGGACCGATGTGTGCTAGGTTCGGCCACTAGCAGTCTAACGAAATGCCACACTGTGGCCCTTATCAGAAGCCGCTGCAGCTTTCACACTCCCCAGGCTTGGTCAGTGTTCACAATTAGGGATGTAGTTTGGCATTTTCACACACAAATATAAGGTGTGATGACCAGATCAGTGTACTTTCAAAGAAATACACACATATTAAAAACAAGGGCCCGGTGCGGTAGCCTAGCGGCTAAAAGTCCTTGCCTTGAATGCACCGGGACCCATATGGATACTCGTTCCAATCCCAGCAGCTCCACTTCCCATCCAACTCCCTGCCTGTGGCCTGGGAAAGGCAGTCAAGGATGGCCAAAAGCCTTGGGACCCTGTACCCATGTGGGAGACCTGGAGGAAGTTTCTGGCTCCCTGCTCCGGATTGGCGCAGCACTGGCCATTGCACTCACTTGGGGAGTGAATCAACAGATAGAAGATCTTCCTCTCGGCCTCTCCTTCTCTCTCAATAACTGACTTTGTAATAAAAAAAATACATCTTAAAAAAAAAAGAAATATGAAATGTATTATCTCAAAAACTGAAAAAGAAAGAAGAAAATAGGAAGAAAAGGAAAGAGAAAGGGAGTATCATTTATTCGTAGAACTGTATATATGAATTGCATTGAATTGGTTCTCTTTGTATTAATATGGTATTAACATGAAAAAACAAATGATTAAGAAAGTTCTTTCCTAAGGTGGGAGTTAGCGGATGGAAAGCAGGTAATGCGTAGGAGAGGGTGTCGGGCGGAGACGCAGAGAAAGCGAGGAAAGAGCATGGAAAACCGCAGACAGGGACAGGAGGAATGTGCGTGGGGCGAGGGAGACACTGTGTGGCATCACAGATGGCAGCAGCGCAAGGCCCAGCTGCTCCGCTTCCCACCAGCTCCCTGCTAACACGCCTGGGAGAGCAGCAGAGGATGGCCCAGAATGGAGCAGCATTAGCAGGAAGAAGGGCCAAAGAGGAGGCAGGGAAGGTCGGCCGCTGGGGCAGTGTAGGGACCTCTGGACTTCACTCCTCAGACCTGGGGATACCCGGGAGGGCTATGGGCTGAGGAGCAGTGTTTGAAGGGAGAGAGTTGGGGTGAGACGCATGTTGAGGGCTGTGTGTGTGTAACACTGTTAACTGTTGGCTTGGGGTGAGCAAAGCACGAGCAGACACGGAGGCTCAGTCTACCAGCTCCCTGTGCAGGGCTGTTGAAGGACACAAGACATGAATGGAAACATGATCCTGTAGTGCAGCCCACCAGGCTCCCTTCCCAGATGTTACCTAACAGCTCAGAGAGCCAACAGGACAGGCCTTCAGGATGTCGACATGCCTGACTGCCTGCATCCTGGGGGTGAGCCATGCGAGGTGGGCAGCGAGGCAGTTAGAGAGGTTCCTGGCCAAATCACACAGCTGGACCACGGCAAGCCAAGGGGTCATTCAGCGAAGATGGTTGGGTGCTAAATTCCAGTTCTTCCCTGGGCTGGCTTGCTTCTGTGCCCCGAAGCCTCCTACCCTACCAAGGTTCAAACACAAGGGCAGCATAGAATCAAAGGAAAGCTCTACTTTGTTGGGAAAACCACTAAGGAGCTACACGCAGCCTGGACACCAGGGGCCCGCCTGTTCTGTGTATGACTGTGTGAGTACTAACCCATGTGCCCTGCTCTGCAGTGCTCTCCAAGCACCATGGCAAACAGCGTGGCAAACAGACACCCTCTGCCAACGTCACAGGGTGCCAATCCTCTTTCTTAAAACCAAGCACATTTCAGATTTTTTTCGTGTCAGCCATGCTTGTGCCCACTTGTAAACCAGCAAGGAAGGAGAGGAAGTGGAGCCCCAAGTACTCACCAAGTACACATCCAGTACAGAGGCACTGTCTTCCGGCAGCTCCACAGTGTCTGGCTCGGCGCTCAGGTAGATGGTCCCCTCCTCCAGGGTAAAGGTTGAACTGGAAGCTAACCCTTTACTGGAGGAAGAGAGGCAAACAGTGAGCACGTGGCCTCTGGGAGGAAGTCCAACTACAGCTAGGAGACAAAGTGGGTCGCCTTTGGTGATGAAGAATTGTGCTAGGGCTGGTATTGTGGCATAGTAGATGAAGCTGCTGCCTGTGACACTGGTATCCCATGTGGGCAGTTCAAGTTCTAGTTGCTCCATTTCTGACCCAGCTCCCTAGGAAAGCAGCAGAAGATGGCCCTGTGCTTGGGCCCCGCACCCACATGGGAGACCCAGAAGGTAGCTTTGGTTTCTGGCCTTGGCCTGGTTGTTGCAGTTGTTTGGGGAATGAGCCAGCAGATAGGAGGTTTCTCTTTCTCTCTTTGTAATCCTGTCTTTCAAATCAATCAATCAATCTAAAAAAAAAAAAAAAAAAAAAAAAAAAGAACTATGCTAAGAGTTGGAAGGAAATATAGTCCTAGCTGGAGATAGTTGAGTTTAAAATGTGGCTTTGTGGCCTGGCATGATGGCTCAATTAGCTAACCCTCTACCTCCAAGTGCTAGCATCCTGTGTGGGCATCGGGTGGTGTCCCAGTTGCTCCCCTTCCCATCCAGCTCCTTGCTTGTGGCCTTGGAAAGCAGCAGAGGGTGGCCCAAAGCCTTCGGCCCCTGCACTCATGTGGGAGGTCAGGCTTCTGGCTTTGGATGGACTCAGCTCCAGTGCAGATTTCTCTGTCTCTCCTCTTTGTGGATTTGCCTTTCCAATACAAATAAATAAACCTTTTAAAAAATGTGGCTTCATTGTTACATTTTCCCTTTTTTCTAAAGATTTATTCATTTTTTAATTTGAGAGGCAGATTTACAGAGAGAGAAGGAGATGGGGGAAAGACCAACACGCAGAAGAGAGAGAAACCTTCCATCTGCTGGCTCACTCCTTCAGTGGCCACAATGACCACAGCTAAGTTGATTCAAAGCTAAGATCCAGGAGCTTTTTCTGGGTCTCCCACGCGGTTGCAGGGACTTGAGACCCTGAGCCATCCCCCACTGCTTTCTCAGGCCATAAACAGGGAGTGGGTCAGAAATGAAGCAGCTGGAACTTGAGCCTGAACCCACATGGGATGCTGGCACTGCAAAGGATCAACCCGTTGAGCCATCACACTGGCATCTTTCCTTTTCACTTCAACGCCTGAGATCATTGTAAAGCTCTGATTGTCCCTTTGGTGTCTTTGTGAATAGCTGGTCCTGGTAATTTTAGTTTTCCCTCACCTATCTGTGGGAGTTACAGCTCAAGACCACCACTGGATACCTGAAACGGCGGATGGTACTATATTCTTTATATGGTGTATATATATATTTTCCTGACACATATACACACACACACCTATGGCAAACTTTCGTCATCTCACTTACAGGAAGTACAAAGGCTTCTCTCGGGTATAATTTGAATCGCGAGCATCATTGTTCTTGCATGTTGGGACATTAGCTACAATAAGACTTACTTGAACACAAGCGTGCCATGTCAGAATAGTCAATGGTAACTGGGATGATTACTAAGTGACGAATGGGCAGGTGCCATACACAGCATGGAAAGTTTGGACAAAGAGATGATTCCCATCATCGGAGATGGTGTGGAATTCCATCACATGACTCAGAAGAGCACACAAGCTAGGACTCAGGAACTGTTTACAGATGGAATTTTCCATTTAGTATTTTTGGACTCTGGTTGATGATGGAAAATTGAAAGCAAAATTGCAGATGTAGGGGTGCTGCCATACCCACAGGCCGCTGGTTTATAGAAGATAGCCTCAAGCATCATTGGTGCTGATCACTTCTCTTTTTAAAAGCTCATTTATTTTTATTCATATGAAAGGAAGAATGTCAGAGACAAAGTGAGAGAAAGCGAGAACGAGAGAGAGAGAGAGAGATTTTCCACCCACTGCTCACTCCTCCCTTCCAAATGTTTACAACAGCCAAGGCTGGGTCAGGTGAAAGCCAGGTGCCTACAACTCCATTTGGGTATTTCACATGGTTACCAGGGACTCAAGTGCTTGACTCGAGGCGCACGCAAGCAAGAAGCTGCCTCAGAAATGGAGGTGGGATTTGAACCTAGGCACTCTGATTTAGGATGTCAATGTTACAAGTGGTGGCTTAACCTAGTGAGCCACAACACTCACTCTGATGATTCTTTTTTTTTAATTGTTCTTTTTGGCACATTACATCTGTGGTTCTCAATCCTTAACATGCGTCAGAATCCTGCAGCACAATGTTGTGGGTCTTTCTCTCCGTTTAGCAGGTTTGGTGTGGAATCCTGGTGATCTCTTGCTCTCGGTCAAAGGGCCACCTTGGCACAGATACACAGCCCTGTGAGATGTGCCTGGTGAGTGTGGTCCACGTTTATCCTTTACGACAACAGCAGCCAAAGGACTGTATACAGGTAGACGGCGCACAAGGAATCAGCTATGATGCACCATTTTATTTTGTTTTGTTCTGCTAACTAGGGCTAACTTGATGTACATGGTCCACAGGGACACTGCTGAGACCAGTAATTAACTGACAAGCTTGGCACTGCATATTTTTTCCCTATTGAAATAAAATTCACTTAGGATTTTAGCTCTTGGAAATTTTCCATGGGAAGCTCTCACACAAACTGGGGACAAACAGGTGATGTTGGTACAGGGAAGGTGGGGGTTGGGAGGCAGCCATCAGCAATAGGGAAGGGGTTGCACAGCAGGTCATGGCCTTACTGCACAGAGAGAGGGGTGGTGGGCTTCATCTCTCCCCTTCTGCAGGACCGTGTCCTGCATGTCCTCCTAGCATAGGTCAGAGCCTTTCTGAGCAACCTGACACCATCCTCCAGGGTTCACACCTAGGGCTCCCAGCCCAGGGACAGACCGCGGAGGACTCCTGACCCTCCTTCCCTAGTCTGCAAGTTTTCTTTCTGTGCATACCTACCTATAATCTGAAGATAGGTGAACATTCAGAAATACTGAACATCTGGGCACACAAAATGCCCAACTGATTGTGTGAATCATAGTAAAAGAGGTTCATTTGCAATTTTCCTATTCATAAAAGATAAAACGAGAAAACCAAACTGCACAGACTTGGAAGAGGGGAAAAGCAAGGGCCAGGGACCTTGCATTCCTCGGTATTTGGGGTGTAGAAGCTGAGGGGGCAAAGGCATAGCACTTGGCCTCTCACACCTCTCACACCCGATTCTCGTGTTCTGGGCACAGCACAGAAAAGGCCCCAAGATGGGCCGTGCCACTAGGAAGCAGAACCTGTCCTGACACAGCAGGGACCCGGGCTTCTTTCCATTGAGTTGTTGACTTTGTAAGGTAAGTCCTCGGATTTCTCGGGTTTAGTAAACTGTCAGGGTTCAAGAGTTTCACCTTCCAAGGCACTGGGCGGCAACAAAGACTGCTCAGGCAATTTTGTGCATCAGAAACAAGGATGTGGTCATGAGCTTTAATGATTTTTTTTTTTTTTTTGCCATGTAATGGAGAAGGAGCCACCCCCCCCGTGCAAGTGTAACAAGATTCTGCTTGGTTAATCTTCCTAGAAGCACACATCCTTCATCCACCTACACAGCAGACAGAAGCAAAGGGTAGGAATTTTTTCTTAATTTCCTGTTATTTGGCTTCAAATTTTATATACTGAAAAAAAATCCTTGACTGAACTCTGAGTTCCTTTGTAGATATGTAACGTGATTGATGAGGCTCCAGAGTTGAATTTTCTCTCCGCTGAGTGTTTACTTACTGACACCTACCTCTGTCCTTAGACATCCAGCCATCTACCTGCGAGAACAACACTCTCGAAGTGATCATTAATCCTTTGAAATTTGAAATACCTTAAAGCTCATGGAAAAGGGGCAAGAATTCTGTGATAACTTTAATCAGATTCTTCCACTGCTACCATTCGGACACTTCTGCTCTATCATTATTTGTGTATAAACACATGAAATTTTTTTCTGAATACTCTAAATAGGTTAACTTGCACATAAGATGCCCCTTTATCCTTAATCTCACCAGTGTGAATTTTCTAAGAATAACAATTTCTAAGAATAACAACAACAAAATACTTTCATATAATACACTATAATTATTAAAACCAGGAAAGTTGAATCGATGTAATAATAAAATCTCATCAATAGTCCATTGTTAAATTTTGCCAGAATTTTTGTTCTTTGAATGATACCACACACATGTTCTCCCATCTCCTGACTAGCTCTGCAGCTACCCAGCCAGGGCTGGGCTGAGGGGGAAGCTGGAAGCTGGGAACTCAGTCCCCATCTCGCATGGGGCCCGCAGGGACCCAGTCGCTTGAGGCATCCCTCACTGTGGGAAGCTGGAATTGAGAATGAAATCCCTGTGTTCCAATGGTGAGAAACACCTCTTCACTGCTGGGAGAACACCTCATGCTGGACCATGCAATATTTAAATGCAGAAATGTTATGTGTTTAATGAAAAACAAAAGAGCTCTCGAGGTTAAGCCTTATGTCCCAGAACACAACACTGGGATTATGAGGGAATTTTAAGCTCTTTATAGATACACATTTTAGGAATATCTCTTTTGAATAAGTCTCCGACATTCAAAACCATTTTCATGCTCCTAACAGAGAAAATGATATGATCAACCTGGTAACAGAAGAGTTCTGGGCGGTGAGGTGGTGAGGCCATGGGCACAGGCCTGGGTGAAACCGGGGAGCCCCCTGCCCTGCACAGGCTCGGGCCTTCATCCTCGAGGCTGCCCATTGCTGGCCCCCAACCCTGTCTGGTGGTAAGAAGTATGCTGGAAGAACATGTGTATTTAGTTTGAATCATGCCAAATAATTCAAAGTAAGCAATTCAGTTTCCTATAACTTCTTCTGGAGAGACCAGAGGGCTTCCAACCCTGAGCTCACCCTTCTCAGTGGCAGTGGGGTAGGTACGGGCCCTGCACTGCTCCAGGCATCTTGTGCTCCCTCTGCGTGCCACCTAGCCAGCCGGCCCCACTTACATCAGTTCAACATCCCCCCTTCAAAGGTGAGCCCAGGGA